CCCTACATACTCCCACAAGAAAGCATCAGAGGCACACTCCAATCAAAAAGAAGGCAGATTCTATCTTGCACCACAATCTACCCGGTGCAGAAAAAGGGGCGTAAGAGACGTGGATTTCATAGAGTCGGTCCCGTCTCCTTGATTTTCAAGATGCCCTGGACTTGACCCTGATGTATATTAATGAAGCCTTGGGGCTGGTGGAATGTAGCACAGCTGGTTTCACCTTTTAGGGCCTACATGCCAGCCAAGAATCACTGAAAGGGGGCAGAGAGATGCTCCATCCCCCTCCTCCCCAGGAGCTGACCTATACCCCCTGCAAACCTTTTCTGGGGAGGACATCTCATCCACAGCCAGATTACATCTACCTGGCTGCCCCTGGATAGTGCAAACAGACAGAAATGAGGTGAAGAATCTGGCCCCTAGTCTTGAAGGTACTTTAATGCCTTCTTAAATGCTGACAAGACACAGTAAAATATCAACTGCTATTTGATTAACCCACATGTGAAATACCATGCTCTCACTGGTCCAAACAAGTAACACCACAAGAACGAGTTGCAGGAGGATTTGATAAAAGGAAACTGGAACCAAAATAGCTATAGTCAGTGTAGCTCACACCTTTCCTTGTATCACTACAAACCTGCCACAAGCCACAGTTGTTTGGAACAGGAGCGGCTATTCCAGCATCACTTGCATTCATAGCAAGTTAGTCTCAGAGGGCACCTATAGACATGCAGCGAGGCTGCTCCAACAAGCTGTAATTCCAGCATGTCAGAGCAGACCCGATGACTCGAGTCTGCTGAAGTGTGATAATTACCACACTCCAGCGGACTCCAACATCACACATATCAGCGTCCCTGTGCTGAAAAATGGCGGCGGGGGTGCTTTAACTAAAGCTCGTTTGCTTAGTTAAACAAAAAATGGCGGCAGGACACTTAATGCCCCTGCCGCCATTCTTCAGTGCTGGGACACTGATATGCATGACGCTCCGGGCCCGTTAACTAGAGTGACTCACAGAGCTGCTCTAATTAAAGCACCCCCCCCCCAACAGGTGTATAAACACCCCAAAACTCAGCAAAAGCAGTTCTCTAAAGATCTGGAGGCTGATCAGCCCTTTTTTGTGTCGGATACTAAACATTTTATGCCAAATAAGAACAACAAAGAGGGTCCGATAAGTTTCAAGTGCTAACAAACCACGAGCCACCTTTACCACTTAATGTTTGCTGCAAATGGATATTTAAGACAGATCTCAATTACGCTAATGAAGTAACTGATGCAATGATAAATACTTATATAAAAAAAAAAAAAAAAATCGCAGCCTCTGCTGTGTGTTGGGGAGAAGGGGAAAGATGCACAATTAAAAATGGAAAAGCCACTTTCTAAATTTTCTGCAACAATAAGATGCTTTTCAATACACATAAACACCACTGAACTGTTTGGTCACAAAGCAAAAAACAACCTCCATGTACTAGTAGCTGTAACCTAAGGGCTAAACATTCAAAACTAATCCAAGTCTCACTTCTATTCCACTTGGAAAAAAGACAAGGAACAAGACAGCATCTTTGCCTTTGAGGTGGGGGTTGCACTCTTCATTTCTGAGCTGCAGAGGAGATAAGGCTGCAGGGTGCTAGGGGCCGGGATAGGAGGAGAAATTCAAAGTTCTTCCCAGCCTCAGCGTGGAACCTACTATCAGTTCAAACAACTTTTCATGTGCTCTGTTGGCATGCTGGATAACTGTGCTTTCTGAAGTGTAAATCTGGAAAATTAATCAATACAATGCTGATTTAATAATACTCATTTTCTAGCTATACTAGCACTTCATGTTGTGCTAGACAGTGCTAGAAATACTAGCACTGTCTGCA